GGTAACTATGGGGAGGAGGTGAGAGGGGAGCTGTTGCATTGTGGTAAACTGTGGTCAATTCCATGAGACAAAGTTTATGTGAACTGCTGTATGGAAAGTGAATTTGCTCTGTAAATCTTCACCCGAATAACAATTTAAAAAGAAAAAGAAAAAAAAAAAATCACAAGGAAAAAATCCTTTAAATTAAGACATGCTCTTAGTGACTAAATTGATACATACCATAGTAATACAGCTGGTGAAAACAAAAACAAAAACAAAAAACCCGAATGCTCTGCTGAAATATCAGATTAAATACAAAAAGGCTACAGAAAAAGTGTTTATGATGAATCCAGGGAGTATAGAAAGATACTTGAATTTACACACTCATTAAATATTACACATGCTGAAGGATTAAGACATTTATAAATTATCCTTCAGCTCAGCTCGTACTAGGTTGTTTCCATAGCAATGATGAGAGGATAGTTAAAAAACATCTTACCATTTCTTTAGCTTGTGGTGGTTCTCAACTATCCATTTCAGTTTTCAATCTCTTTAAAGAAAGAAATGCTGTCCTCTATACAGCATTAAAAATATAATTTAACGATGCATTACCTTTTCACTTGAAAGCAAAATGTAAGAATAGGGCAATATTGGATTAGCTGCTTTTATGAGGCATCAACTTGCCTATTTTTTTTTCCTTAAGATTCTGATGCACCAAAAAATTTAACATGTAATATGATAATCCTTTCTAACATAGGGGTTCTTTATACTCTCATAAAACAAGGAATAGAGATGTGAAGGATCAACCCTTGAAGTGATTCCCAGCCCTCCACACTCCCTCCCTCTTTGTGTATCAGAGTCTTAGAAGGAAACAGATGGCATACTCAAGCTGCCTAATTAAATAGAGTTTAACAAAGGGACAATTTATAAAGATGTGACTGAAACTCAGCAAAGGAGCTCTGGTGGCACAGTGCCTAAGGCACTTGACTGCTAACCAGAAGGTTGGTAGTTCAAACCCACCAGCCGCTCCATGGAAGGAAGATGGGGTAATCTTCCATAAAGATTTACTGCCTTGGAAACTCTGCGCAGGTCACTATATGTTGGAATCAAATCAATGGTAGTGAGTTTGGTTTGGTTTGAAATTTGGGAAGCCAAGAAGAAATGGTACCAGTGCCTCCCAAAGATGGAAGAGCCAGAGTTCTTACAACCCCTAGGCCAGAAGGAGCAAGTGGAAGGAGATGTGATCAAAACCTGAAGAGGGGAGCTGTACAGAGAGGACCACCTGTCAGAGATGCAGCCTTTAGTAAGGTGACACAGCCAACCATGGTAGTGACCTGGCAGGGCAGGGGTGTGCAGAATAAATACCTGAACTTCACCTCTTCCAGATAGTTGCTCACTGGCCAAGCCAAACCAGAATCCAGAGAGCATGGGAACCCACTGGCACAGTCTACACAGGTCAGCTCCCAGGATACAGAAAAGGGTAGAAGAGGAGAGTGAGGATCTGGAGAGGCAGACTGACAGTATCCATCACACCCCGCGCCTGGCATTACAATATACTGGAAACCCTCCTTCCAATAGGAAAGCATAGTGGAAGTTTGAACTAGAAAGGACCAGAAAATAATTGGTGTGTTGTACCACCTGTGGAAGATGAACGCATTACACAAGACACACAAAGACTCACAAGTGTTATAAGGTAAGAGAAATATTTATTTAATTTTGCACAATAACGAGCTTATACTGAACAAATTTAACCAAATAATATTAAGTGCAGTAAAACAAGGAAGTAGACATGACTTTTCCTGTTAGAAAATATTAAGTAACCATGCCTGTGTGTTATTTTTTTATCATTACAACAACTTGTTTCAGATTTCTTTTCAGAGTGTGTACTGTATATAACACATTATAGCTTCTTCGCTTTACTTCTGAAAATATAATTTGTTCACTGCCTTATGTTTTTCTTCTTTGCAGTGAGGAGCCTAACTGATTGGTGAAGATTCTGATCTAGAGTAAATTTTTCTGCACCAATGAAGCTAGAAGGTTTCTGAGATCCAGTGGGTTCGGGTTTATAACCAGAGGTCATGATGCCATCGCGCATTTTCCTCACTCACTCTTTCACATGGTGATGTCAGACACCGGAGAGGCAGAACTGTGGTCTAATTCTGCCCCAAGGATTTGACCACAAAAGAATTTTCCTTTTGTGATTTTCTCAAGCTCCACAAGTTTCATAATTGAAAGTTTAGTCAGCTATCACAAAGCTGCACTTAGCTGCCCACAAATCATCCAATTCAAGTTTCACATTTTTTTTTTTTTTGGTCTTTTTAATGAAAGAATATTCTTTAACCAGAAATCTCCCGGGGGACAGTTCACTTCACAGTTCCTGAAGGCACTGTGGATCCACTGAGCAACAGATGTGGCCATTCTAGAGAAAAAATAAAAATTAAAAAAGAGGGGTGTGAATTTTTACATTTTAGTAAATGCTGACACTGATTGGCTGGTAAACATAGCCATATCTGTGAAGTTTTTTTGTTGTTTACTTCTGAAACCCAAAATGATGAATGGTTCAGTCACACTTTATGTCTCTACTGTAATAGAACCAATAATTACTCTGAGTTATTTGTGGCAAATCATAAGCTGGCTTTACTTACCCACATGGCATCCTCTTGTATCACATTTGTTCTTTCACAGCAAAACCTATGAGAGCCAGAACCTGACTTGACTACCTTGTTTTTAGGGTTCTCAAGTTTTTCATCCTTGACTGGATGCAATTCTATCACTTTTCTATCACTCATTTTATTGGAAACTATTTGAGCTTTTCTTCTCTGACAAGTTTCTGCCTTACACAGGTACCAGCTTTTTGGCAGGTTTTTCTGTATTTACTCATTTGTGAATTTTTATTGAATATATTGGCCACAAGCAACACTGATGAATAAAGGAAATCACTGGCCTCACACAAGACTTTCTACAGTTTACTGGGGGAGAAAACTGTTGTTGTTATATGCTGTCAAGTTGGACCCAACTCATAGTGACCCCTCCTTGGGTTTCCAAGGCAGTATCACTATGGAAGTAGATTGCCCCATCTTTCTTCGAAGGAGTGGCGGGGGAGAAAACTAGAAGTACCAAATACATAATCACAAGTTGTGAAAAGTGCTAGAAAGGAAACAAACTGAGTGTTATAATAAGATTAATAAAAGATTGGCTACTTAGGGTGGCCAGGATACTGTTCTCAGCAGAGGCTATCTTTAAAACAAGACCTGAAGGTAAATCAGACAGCCCTGTGAAAAGCGAAGCCAAAAGCACAAGAATTAGCATGAGTAAAGGCTTCGAGGAGCTCTGGTAGCATAGTGCCTAAGACACTTAACTGCTAACCAAAGGGCTGGTGGTTCAAACCCACCAGCCACTCCTGGGAAGGAAGGTTGGGCAATACTTCTGTAGTGATAACGCCTGGGAAACCTAAGGAGGACTCACTATGAGTCGGGCGGACTCGACAGCACATAACAACAACAACTTAAAAAAGCTCTGGGTAAGGATTTTAGGTTGGTGAAGAAACCAGTGTATGAGATGAAGTAAGAGAAATAGGCAGGAAAGGGCCAACTATTCATAATTCCTTTTTCATACTAAAGCACTAAAATAATATAATGTCTTACCAAGAAGAAAAAAAAATCATTTCTTATTCTTTTGATTCTTTGCACTTGTACTTTTTCACAGGTAGCTAATGATAATGATAGTGTTAATACACCATAATGACATTACAAGAAGAATGTTAATCCCCTTCCCCTTCTGGAGTGTAGACTCTGTGTAGACACTTTGCCAGGCACTTTAAATACATTATCTCATTTCAACCTCACAGCATTTCCCAGTGGGATCACTATTATTAGCAGCATCTTTTCAATTCAGAAACCGAATAACAGAAAGCTTAAATACCGTGTCCAGAATCACATAGGTAATAAATGGTAGAGCTTGGATTAAAATTTAACTTAGTCTGACTCTAAAACTTCTCTTCTATAGTTTTACTCAAAAAACTGCCTTTAGATGATTGGAAATATATTATACTTTAGTGCAATAGAATCATGTCTTTGTTGCTGTAATAATATAAAAATTATATATATATATATATATATATATATATATATATATATATGTATATGACACTACAGCCTGTGTTCAAGCTGTAGTGAACATCAAGTAAAGGCAAAGTCAGTTTATACCTGAGAATGGTATTATCAACTTAATCTAATCCTCCTACTTTGTAAATTGCTATCAAGTAGGTTTTTTTTTTTTAAAAATTCTGACAACAAAAGACTCAACCATCTCTCAGATCTCTAGTGGCATTTTAAAGGTTTGTCAACATGTTTAGAGGCAGAAGTTTTCTGGCCATACTTGGTTAACACAGTCCTTCTTAATCCATTAACCCCATGAAGTTTCCCTAATAATAGAGCTTCACATTATATAAAGCAAGACTGATGGAGTAAAAGTGAGAAATTGTAAACCCACAATCATCACCAGAAATTTTAATGTTCCTAACTCAGTAATTCCTATTAACAAGTTGTTCTGGTTACCTAGTGCCACTCTGACAAAAATAAACCACAAATGGGATGGCTTGAAGAAACAGGAGTTTATTCTCTTATGGTTTGGAGGCTTTAAGTCTGAGTTCAAAGTGCCAGGCTCTAGGGGCTGGGTAAAAGCCCCTCAACTTTGGGCTTCAGCTTTGCCTCCTGCTCCTGGCCCACTGAAGCTGGAGGCTTTTCTTCACTCAGCTGTTGGTTGCTGAGGCTAACAAGTCCAAGGTTCACAAGTAATAAGGCACAGTTCGGATATTACCAAACCACACAGCAGGCTATTAATTCAAGTCCAGTGAAAGTTCTAAGATCAGCAGAGCATGGCAGGCTGCTGAACAACTGCTACATGCAGGGTTCAAGTGTACCATAAGCTAGAGACCATTCCCAAAGCTGTTTCTTATATATGGGAAGCAGACCACATTCCTAAAGCAGCTACTCAGTTGCTCCAATACATTCCACTATGGAGTTGATCACCCATCTTACCATGAGGAATAACTACACCCAGCTGCCCAGCCACTCAACCAGGCCTAGCCAAGTTAACACACAAACTTAATCACCATACAAGTATACAAGAATTAGTAAGGGATGCAATAATTGAAAACATGGCAACCAACTTCACCTAAAATGACCCAGATGTCCATCAACAGGTAAATGAATAAATGATAGCCAGGGAGCTCTGGTAGCATAGTGCCTAAAGCACTTGACTGCTAACTAGAAGGCTGGCGGTTCAAACCCACCAGCCACTCCTCGGAAGGAAGATTGGGCAATCTACTTCTGTAGTGATACTGCCTCGGAAACCCAAGGAGCGGTCGCTAAGAGTCAGGTTTGACTTGACGGCACATAACAACAACATTGATAGCAATAACAAAAGAAAAAATGTCAAAAACATTATGTTGACTGAAAGAAGCCAGATGTAAATAAGGACATATGTACAATTCCACCGATACAAAATTTTATAGTTAGCAAAACTAATCTATTTTGATGAAATACTAATAAAGGTGGCTTATGGGAAGTAGGGACCAAATGCAAGGGGAAACAAAGATACTCTCTAGAGTGTGGGAAATATTTTATATTTTGATTTATCAAACTTACAGATTATACACTTGGTGACTGTGTGCATCACCATATATAAATATGACCTTGATAAAAATCAAAATAAAACCTGACCCACTAGAACAGTAGCCACCTCCTGTCAAAATTAATGATAAAAACTATTTTTACATAATAACAATCACGATAAAATATGTTTCCTTAAGACCTTGTTATTTCTGGCTATATTTTTAAAGAAAACACTGTCATTCTTTTCATGCTAAACTACAAGAATTAAGACTAAAGACAGTCAACTTTAAATTTTCAGTGATTTATAGTATTTAAAAAATTCTACTATCAATATTTTAGTATGTTTTCTTAAAGTTTATTTAATATACTTTTATTTTCAGTCTTCTTACACTCAAAGTATATTTGTATTCATATATCATATATTTATCTTAATTTTATTATAATTATTGGTATAACTTTGATTACTAAAAAGGAGCTCTGGTGGCATAGTGCCTAAGGCATTTGACTGCTAACCAGAGGCTGGCAGTTCAAACACACCAGCCACTCCTCAGAAGGAAGACTGGGCAATCCTACCTCTGTAATGATGCTGCCTTGGAAATTCAAGGAGGGGTTGCTTTGAATTTGATCCAAAATAATGGCAGTGAGTTTATTTTTGTTTATAATTATATACCACAATATAAAATATCATAAATATAATTTCAATATAATATCACATAATGTTCCATCCTGTAGAGTTACCATAACTTATCATTTTTCTGTTTTAGACATTGGTTTTCTTCCTTGATTTTGCATCATGAATAATGTTAAAATGAATATTGTCATGAACATAACTTGTTACATATTTTAGATTATTTCTTTATGTTAGATTCTTAGACCTAGAATTAAGGGGACAAAAGATATTTGTGTATGTGTTTGCAGGGGACAGCTTCTGACAAGCATTGTTCAATGTCACTAACAGTGTAAGAGTAACAATTCCAGAAAACTCTACCAAAATATGAAATTATCATACCCATTTTTTTTTTAACTGTAGTATGTGAAAAGATTGATATGTGACTTTATATTTCAATTTCAACTATTTAATGGTTGAATATGCTTCTCTTTTAGGAGTTCTGGTAGCATAGTGCCTAAGGCACTTGACTGCTAACCAGGAGGCTGGCGGTTCAAACCCACCAGCCACTCCTCGGAAGGAAGGTTGGGCAATCCTACTTCCATAGTGATAACTGCCTTGGAAACCCAAGGAGGGGTCGCTAGGAGTCAGGGCCGACTTGATGGCAAATAACAACAACAACAACATGCTTATCTTTTAATAGCAGTACTTTTTTTAGTGAATTATTTATTCATCCTTTGCTAATGTATGTATGGGGAAATGTGTTTTTCTCATTAGTTTTTGTGTTTTTACTCTAACCAAGAAGTCATATCTGCTGCTAATATTCTTTGTGTCTCTAGTTATAACTTTATTTTATGCAGGGCCTAATCTTTATTTTATTCTTTCTGAGCTTAGAAAAGTCATCCTTCTTGTATAATTTTGGTAAATATTTGATTATATTTTCCTCATTTTGATCTATTTTTTAACATTTTATCCATGTGGAATTTATTTTCATATACATCATAATGGTATCTCAAATTAGTTTTTCCGTAATTGTGATTCAGCCATTCTCGCATGTATGGAATCATCTTTTCCTCTTCCACTGGTGTGCAAAGCTCCCTTGATCATATATTAAATTCTTCATTAGATTGGTGCCTAAATATGGGGTATTTGTTTCCATAGCTCTAGCTATTCATTCTGATATCAGTACGGAGTTATAATTTCACAACTTTAACTTTGCCAGATAAACTTTAACAGATAAATGCAACATTTAGGGAAATCAAAATTTCACCCTTAAAAAACTTCTACTTTTCCATCCCTCAATTATTTCAGAATTACATTTAGAGTCTTCCTAGGAGTTAAAAGTATCCCCTTATTATCCAATTTCCAGTTTCCCACTCAGTGACTACTTTTAAAAGGAAAGGTGTGTCAGTCTCCCTACTTCCTCCTCATTTCTCAATTGGATACATCCTTTTCTGATAGAGCCCTAAAGCTCTCTGAAAGCACTCTCACCAATCATAAGGGTGCTTCCCCATTAGATTTACAAAGGCAACCTTATTAATTCACACTTGACTCAAGACTTTAACTTCTGAATGAAAGAAACACTTTTTTTTTTTTAAATGTAAACAAATTAAATCTGAAGCAGCGTTTAAAAATGAAAGGGAAAATCTTACCCCGTTTTACCTACTTAACCCCTGTTCCTCAGAGTGCACCTACAGTGTCATTTCCTCAGGAGTTACGGATGCACATGTTGTATGACCTCTTAGTACAGTGTAACTTTCCTTCAGCGCATTCACCATTTTAAATGTCATATTTACCTGCGTCACTACTTTATTAATGTCCACTTTCCCCCTTACCAACAACAATGGCCGACATTTATTGAGTTCTTACTATGAATGTACTGGCATAGTATGAAGCTTTTTGTATGGATCATTTCTCTTAATTCTCATAGTAATCTTCTGAAGTAGGTTCTATTCTGAGGCAGGTACTACCTACTGCTGTTGAGTCAGATCTGACTCATAGCGATTCCTCCTTGGGTTTCCAAGGCAGCATCACTATGGAAGTAGATTGCCCAACCTTTCTTCCAAGGAGTGGCTGGTGGGTTTGAACTGCCAGCCTTCTGGTTAGCAGGCAAATGCCTTAGGCACTATGCCACCAGAACTCCTTGGGTAGGTACTAGTATTCCCATTTTTCAGGTAATCAAACTGAGTCACAGAGATTGAGGAACATTCCCTGAGGTCTCATAGTTACTTCTGGTTCAACCAGGCTTTCAATCCAGGCACTCTGACTCCAGAGGCTGCATTCCTGACCTCTAGACCCCAGAGAACGTTCTGCAGTAATGGAAATGTTCCCTGTCTGTACTGCCCAATACGATAGCCATTAGCCACATCTGGCTATTGAGCACTTGAAATAGGACTAGTGTGCCGGAGGAATTGAATTTTTAATTTTATTTCATTTTAACCAATTTACATTTAAACAGCCACATGGGGTTACTGATTACTATATTAGACAGCATAGCTCTAGACAGGAAGCTGCTAGACAGTAATTTCTGTGAGGGGCTGTGTCTGTTTTTGTTTATCATTGTACCCCAGTACCTAGCAGGATACCCTGTGCAATTTATACTTACTGACTAAAATGAGTAATTCAGAGACGAGTAAGATGGGGACATAATAAGGGGAAAAAAAAGAAAAAACAGTCCTCTGAAAGCACAAAACTGTGAAGAATAGTCACCTTCAAAGCAGTATCTGGAGCTGTTTTGCAAAAATAAAGTTTACCTTAAAAATAATACAAAACTAAGATAACTTAAAAATGAGTATTTGGGATAGGTTTGGTAAAATTGAGCATATTCTAATAACTTGTATTTAATCAAAGAAAAAAAAAGGGAAATGACATCAAAGAGTGACTTCTGAGAATCGGCACTTGTTTGACAAGAAGCAATTTAATGTCATAATGTACTTCCTGGATATATTCCCACCAAGAGTCCAAGAGCCTAAGAGCTGCTCTTTTCCCCAGCAAACATGCTTAGGCTATGCTGCTTATCAGTGAATGCATTTTTTTTTTTAAATGGACGTACCTGTCTAAGTTGTATTTGGTGGATATTTTATACCATCCCCTAGTATGTATTATTTTTATACATCAAAACATTTAGATAAAGGGTGTAAGGGAACTCAACTCTATGTGGTAATTAACTGTCAGTATTTCCCTTTTGGTCATTAGTACTGTTAAGTAAACTCATGAAACATACATTAAAGGAGGCATTACATACACATTATTAGAATCCTTCATTAGTACTTTCAGAAACAACAGTAAATGTCACTCAAAATGCTTTGCTTGATTTGACAAATTGCATTGATTGAAAGAGCTAGAAAATTTTGTTTGAAATACATAAAAATGATATCTCAAAGCACTTGATATTTATTTGCCTGTTACCTCAAGCCACCTAGCAGATATTTAAACTGAGCGAATCTGAACTAAATTGCTCTATTGATAAAAGAAGATAAAATGGAAATGCTCACTTAAAAAACCAGGGCAGTTATTTATAAATATGTGGTTGAGAAAAATGTGACATCTCTGCTTTTTTTCTTATTGTTTTTGTTAAACTTTCTAAATTATTTGTTTTGTTTTAGCGGTATTCCAAAATTATGACTCTGAAGGACAATGACCATTAAATCAATTTTTTTTTTTTGTAGGAACAATGCTTTTATCACTATCTAGGAACTCTCTATACTCCATCTGCATTATCTGTACTTTTTTTTCTCATGAAGTAAAAGGCACAGTGACCTAATTTCCTATGAGAATAAACAGAAAATCTTTATAATGATTTTCCCCACCTGTAATAATAAAATATAGTATATAACATATCTTTAATTTTTCAACTCAGTGTAACTGACCACAATAAATAAAGAAATATGCCCATTTTTGCCATATTGATTTCCACTTTGGAAACCTATCTGCTTTGTAATGGATCTGCTTCATTAATATATCCTACAGACCTCATAAAAAACAACAGCAACAACAAAAAGAATCAGAAATCAATAAAATAATATTGTACTCCATTATAAAGGAAGAAACATGGATTTTACTGTAATTTTTGTAAGGTGTGTATATAGTTAGACACTATAGGGCACTTTCAGTAGACTGTTTTTGTTCTGGTATAAATACCTGATCATTCTGGTTTCTGAGCATGCCCTCTTCTCCCTGAATCAGACGATGCATATGACAATCTGCCTTGGTATTAATAAAGCTGAGTGGCACTCCCACTGCTGTTTGAACAATAAATAGAAGAAAAAATGCTCCCCATTGTCCAGGCTAAGTACATTAATATTGATGAGGCTTGGATGCAGCTGGCAAAGAGCTCGCAACTTAAATTTAATGGGCTTTACCTTGCACTGGCAGAGAGTACACTCAGTGCCATGTTTGATCCAAGAGGACCCAGTGAAGCGAACCACATTCATCTCATCCAGGCAAGTTTTGGTGATGTCATTGCGGATAGTGTCCGCCTGGCAAGGGTCAGTGACACAGCGTGAGCAGCACTCATTCTCTGGGAGGACACTGAATTCACACTCCACCTCTGGGCAAGGCAGTGGCCAACAGTCAACTTCCCCTTGCTGTAAGGAAAACAGACGTGCAGGGGCAGAGGGAGAGGAAGGGAGGAGATGAAAGAGGAAGGGAGGGAGGAAGGGAGTACAGTGTTCACTCAATACTCAATTTATTTGACTGATATTTATACTCAGGGCTGTGAAGCCGTGGATCTTGCAGGGATTCTATAAAAGCCCTCTGAGTGATGAGATCTATACTGCAGCTAGATTTGTAAATCACCATTAAAGATTCAACAAGAACAATAATTTTTAAAAAAAGCAAAATCTATTTTCTCTTGAAACAATATAATGTCCAGGCCCCTGTCTTCCCCATGACAAAGGAGAGTTATTTAATGTAGAAGAGGTTTTTTATTTAACTTTTTGCTTATGGGATGTCTTCTTCATTCTTTTGATCTTTCTTCCCTAACTTCTCATTTATTCTCTTATGCATAAAGAAAGTTATGTCCATTTACAAGAGAACACACTGAAGTATGAAAGAAATTTGACATTTTTTCCTGTTCATTTATACATTTCACAGTGTAAAAACTTTGTAACAAAACAAAACAGATTCCAGTCATTATTACACATGGTACAACTGTGAACTGAATCCTTTTTTCAATGTAGCTCCCCCCACCTGGTTCCTATCTTCTTCATGATTCTGAATGCCATGGTTTTGGAGATGAAAGCAGCCTTTGGGCACAAAACTGACCTTACTCCTTCATTTGATTTTGGGGTCAAAAGTATAAAATGGAAGTAACAAAAAACCACTGCCTTTAAAAAAAAAAAAAAAAAAAAAGCTCACATAAATAGAAAGGAAACTAGTTATTTAAAAGTAATGAAACTTTATGCTATAAAGACACATAGACCAATTTTCCTTTTCAATTATACCACCAGAAAGAAATAAGAAATTTGGTCAAATGAAAAAAGACTGGAGTTTTCTTCAGTGCCAAGTTTCTTTTTGACCTGGTTCCATTTTAACAAGTATTTACTATATATTCATATTATGTGCAAAACAGGGTATCAATCAGAGCAGCATCAATCATAATGATCTTTACCCTAAGAGAGTTTTTTTTCAATGTCTGAGTATGATTGATAGAAGTAGGTTGGCAAAAGTTCTACCTGGAAAAAAGATAATGTCATTTATTTTTTTCCACAAATAACCATTGTTCTGGCTATTGTCTTTCAAAGCCTAAACTGGATGGGAAGAGAGATGCTGAGAGAGGCTTTCCTTCCTTCAATCCATGGAGATACTCCTAAAAGAGACACCACTCTCAGAGAAAGAACACCCAGTGCGTATGTGTACCACTACTATTCCTTCTTGGGTCCCCACTGCATAACTATCATCTCATAATCTGACTCATGCTCACATATTTCTAACTGCAAACACTATAGCAAGATATTGAGTATGGGGATAGGATGAGGGCCCGGATGCTTTCCTGTTTAGATCTGTACCTAAATTTTTCTCCACTTCATAGAGCTAAGCTTACCAAGCAGCGACACTGTTGGCAATTCTGGACCCAGGTGTCACCACTGTTGTACAGCGTTTCCCCATTCTGATGCAGGCACTGACTGCTAAGCCTTGGGTCACATTCAGGGCAGCAAAAAAGATCAACCGTGGGATTCTCACAGTCACAGACCATCCGTCGACACATTACAAATCCATTCTGTATGAGAAGAAAAAAAAAGCAGTCACCAAACCCCTAGTTCCCACTATACAAAAGTCATACAGCATCTTGATCAGATGATGACTTGGAAGTTGACATAATTCACATTGTTTACCCAGTGTAATTAATTTTCTTTAAAGTTCCACTTTGTAGTGAACACACAGAAACTGCACAAGTCAGAGAACTTCCAATTTCCTTTCCACATACTATTCCTCAAATTACCTGAACAGGAAGAAATTTTCTGGAAATGATCAGTATAAAATGTTGTTTACTATATGTAAATGTGTGTGTATGTAAATATACATGTATTTGTATAACTGTGAATTCTAACTAAATGTGTTTTGTATGAGGGTACATATGTTTGTATTCAAGTGGCTATTTACTACATCTTATATTTGCTAAGACCCTGGAATATTTTTAACACCGTATGCTTTGTACAAACTGTTATCAATTTGTTTCAGAAAAACCGAGTCCTTGGAACACAGGATTATTCCCTTACCTATAACTTAAGTGTATACTTTCAATGAGGAAGACATAATACAGTGCTTCTCTAAAAGTCAAATATAGCTCATTTAGATATTTTTGAATCTTCTGTTATATCATGTCCATTCTTACTTTGTTCATGCATTCATCCAAATGTGATACTGTGGCTATGAAAATATTCGAGTAGTTACTAACAAATTTTTTTCAATATGTGAAGAGATAAACACCCTGTGGTATATACATATAATGAATTATTATTCAGCAATAAAAAGGAACAGATTACAGGAAGATGGGGCAATCTACTTCCATAGTGATATTGCCTTGGAAACCCAAGGAGGGGTCACTATGAGTCAGGTCTGACTCGACGGCACATAACAACAACAACATTAATTAATTATATTAATGACTAAGTGGATGTGCACATTTGTCAGAACTCAGCAAGCTGCACACTTAAAAATGTATGCCAATTACATGTCAATAAAACTGATGAAAAATTTGTATTTATACCAACCTGACATGAGCACACAGAGCACCGGTCATTTTCCAACACCCAGATCTGACCATTGTGCTTAATTTTTCCATCATGGATACAGTCTCCTGTGCAATTCTTTCCATGAGGACATCGGCAATCATATCCACCATCCAAGTTAAAGCAAACGGTATCATTGGCACAGCTATGCCTCCCGGTCCCACACTCATCGATATCTACAGCCAAGAAAAAGCAGCATGTAATGCGCTCAGGATCTCAGTTTCAAACAATTGCAACCATGGCAAGTTGTCTCCTGACATAAAGCATTCAACTGTAAATTAATTTTCATCTTATTGGCATGCATTTCCTAGTAAGTGCTGACTAAATTAATGTTCATGATCTGGGGATTTCACAGGAAAATATTACCATGTTTGATGTGAAAAACCAGAAAACCCTGGCTGGAGTTTCAACTTTTATATCTCTGTAAAAACCATTAGGCTTTACAAAATACTTCTGTTTTTTGCAAGTAAGAATATGACTCAATTTATCAAGCAAAAACATTTGGCTGTGGAAATTTAAAACTGTCTATGATATTTTATTGAGGGAAATCATCCCCAATGTTAAGATGGTGTTTACAGAAAATCCTTTCTAAATGGGAGATAAAATGTCATGAGACCCCTGAGGCATTTCATTCAATTTCAAACCATATCCTTACTGCCGCACCATCCCACATGTAAACTCTTCCCGGTGTTCCGCCTTGGTGTCTTACCTCATAGTCCAGGCATTTTCTTTCACAATGTCCTTACATCTTGCCCCTGACCTGCAGAAGGCCAAGTGACCTTCAGCAATTACTTTCTCTCTCTCTCACAAAGAATCCCCTACTTCTTAACTTTTCCATTTCAGATTATTGTTTCTTACCTTGCCTGACTCAATTGGCAACTGCCCATTCTTCAACCAACCTTACCTATTCCATGACAATCACAGCCTAAAGCATTTTCATAGAGATGAAAAGCAAACATATTTTGACCCACAGAGCGAGTCCATAAGAAGAGAAGTGATTCATCTTATTTATCCCCATAATTCAAAGGTCAGAAGCCAAAATACATTTCAGGGATATAGTATGAGTGGCAGTAAGCAGTTATTTCCCATTGCATCTGCCTCCTCTGAGTAAAGGTCAAGAAAGAAAGAACTAAATCACAACAGGAGAAGTGGGTTAGAGGAAAGATGGAATGCATAACTTCAACTAGGGGAACTGTAGACTGATTTTCATTGAAGATTTAAAGGATAGTGTTTAGTAAATTAGTATCTTTCTTAAATGGTTTGATTTTACCATTAATTGAAGACTTGAAATAGTCAAGATTATATCATAATCACACTTAAATTCTTAGATCATCATATATTTTCTCTCTTTCCACTTGATTTTTATTAGTTCCCAGCAACAAAAGGTGAGATAAGACAATGGCTGAAATTGTTTTTATTTTAACTACAGTGAACCTTCTTATAAGCTTCATGGGACAAGGCTGATACTGTTTATAATTATAGACGATGATCAAAAAAAGGTACTGTTAGCCAGCAAGAGGATTTGTTTTTTAAAATTTAAAAGCACATAAGTTAATACATATTTTTTCCAGATCGAGAAAATTTTCTCTTTTTTAGCAATGGAAATAAAATTTTATATATTAGTTCTATAGTTGGTCTATTCAGAATAATATATTAAATGAGTTACTCTTTGTCACCCATTAAATAGTCTTAAAATTAAGAATTACAGTAAGCAGAAAAAAAAGCATTAACTATAGTTATTGGTTCTCTTTGAACATAAACTCTACAGACACACCTTATTCCATACTCTTTAAATATCCACTATTAAAATATTAAGGCAGTCCGGTGGTGTAGTGGTTACGGCATTTGGCTGCTAACCAGAATGTTGGCAGTTCGAACCCACCAGGCACTCTGTGGGAGAAAGACAAGGCAGTCTGCTTATGTAAAGATTTACAGGCAATTGGGGTGGCTATGAGTCAGAACCTACTCAATGGCAGCAGTTTTGGTTTATTAGACTATTATTCCATTAATGTCAATGGTTGGATTTTTGCAAACTGACTGTTGGTATAGAACTTTGGAATTCATTTTCATATGTAGTTTTATTATGATGTAAGATGCACAAATTGAACATACATAAAAATGCATATTCTTCTTTGAGAAATCTAATATGATATATGAAAATTCCAACTTTTAAAATATTGGTAACTACTTTAGTGAGAGATCAATGAAGAAATAATGTTGCTAAAATCATCAGTCATTTCACAGTCCTCATCTTACTTGACCTAACAGCAGGATCTGACACAACTCACTCCCTGTTCTTGGTAAAATTTTTTTCACTTGTGTCCTATCACACTGGTAATTCTTTCTGGATATATCTTCATCTATATATTTCTTGAGGTATAGCAATTATCAATTAGCCAAGCAAAGAGTAAAGAAAAATAGCATTCTAAGACTAAAAAGCAAGTTTGAAGGCCCAGAGTTTAGTTAGAGCTATCAAGATTTGTGAGGAAAACAAATTTTGGTGTAGTTGGACTGTTTAATGAGAGTAGAGTAGCTAAAGATGAAGTTGAAGAGGTCTTCAGGGCCCAAAGAAAGACCATGTTAAGATATTTGAACTTTTAGAAAGGTAATAAAACATCATTTTAGGGAAATTAAAAAAAAAAAAAACAGATTTTCAGTTTAAAAATTTCTTGGGCTTCATTTGGAAAAAGGATTTTAAGTGGATTAAAACTTGGGGCCAGAAGATTAATTAATAAGTTGTGGTCCAGGTGAGAGATAATTGTATAATGAAAGCAAACAGCTGTACAGTGCTTGGTTTGTACCAGATTCTAAGTGTTATTCATACAATGACTCATTTAATATTCACAACAACCCTAGAAGGTAGAATTATTATCCCCATTTTGTATATCAAGAAACTCAACAACAACAACAACAAACTCATTGTCATCGAGTCAATTCTGACTCATAGTGACTCTCATTGGGTTTCTAAGGTTGTAAATCTTTATGGAAGTAGATAGTCTCATCTTTCTTCCATGGAGTGGGCTGGTGGGTTTGAATCACTGACCTTCTGGTTAGCAGCTAAATGCCTTAACCACTACACTACCAGAGCTTCTTTATCAGGAAACTAAGGCATAGAAAAATGACATAACATTCCCAAGGTCACACAGCCATTAAGGTGCAGACCCCAGAGTGGATCCAAGGAGTCAGGCTCCAAGTCTAGCCCTAAAGCACAATGCTATACTAGGTGATACTAGTGAGGATGAAGAGAAAGAAACAAAGATAGAATTAACATAATTTTGTGAACCACTGGAATTCTGGGTAGTGCAAATGGTTAATGTACTTGGCTGCTAACTGAACCACTGCAAACTGTTGACCAATTGAGTTCATCCAGAGAGATACTTGAGAAGAAATGTCTAGTATTCTATTTCCAAAAAAATTAGCCATTGAAAATCCTATGGAGCACAGTTCTAATCTGACACACATGGCGTCACCATAAATCAAATCAACTCAATGGCAAATAATAGACAAGCCTACAAGGTGAATAATTACACCAGGGAGGTATATTCCTAGAACAATAAACCACAGAAGAGCAGAAAGGCAGTATTTGCATGGGCAGAAAGCTCAGAAGGTACAAATGCATATGAAAGGAGGACACAGGGAAATGGTAACCACAGGAAGGAAGTAGGAAGAAAGCTGTTAGACTGTGGAATTAAAATCAATATCAGGAAACAAAATGTATATGAACAGTTGAATGGAAAATGAATTTGCTTCATAAACTTTCACTCAAATCACAATGTTGTTGTTAGGTGCCATCGAGTCAGCTCCAACTCAGCCACGCTATGTACAACAGAACAAAACACTGCCTGGACTTGTGCCAGCCTCACAATACTTGCTACACCTGAGCCCATCATTGCAGCCACTGTGTCAATCCATCTCATTGAGAGCCTTCCCTTTTTTCATTGACCCTCCGCTTTACCAAGCATGACATCCTCTTCCAGGGAATGGTCCTTTCTGACATGACCGAAGTCAGTCAAATGAAGTCTGGCCATTCTGGCTTCCAAGGAGCATTTTGGCTACACTTCCTCCAGGACAGATTTGTTAGCTCTTTTGATAGTCCATGGCACTTTCAATATTCTTCAACAACACCACAACTCAAAAGCATCAACTCTTCTTTGGTCTTCCTTCTCCATTGTCCAGCTCTCATATGAATATGACGTAACTGAAAATACCATGTCTTGGGTTAGGTGCATCTTAGTCTTCAAAGAGACATCTTTGTTCTTCAGCACTTTAAAGAGGTCTTTTGCACCAGATTTGCCTAGTGCAATATATTGTCTAATGTCTTGATTGCTGCTTCCATTGGTCTTGATTGTGGAACCAAGTAATATGGAATCTTTGACAGCTTCAATCTTTTCTCCATTTATTGCCATGCTGCTTATTGGCTAGTTGTGAGAATTTTTGTTTTCTTTATGTTGAGATGTAATCCATACTGCAGACTGTAGTCTTTAATCTTCATCAGTAAGTTCTTATTGGCTAGTTGTGAGAATTTTTGTTTTCTTTATGTTGAGATGTAATCCATACTGCAGACTGTAGTCTTTAATCTTCATCAGTAAGTGCTTCAAGTCATCCTTACTTTCAGCAAGCAAAGTTGTGTCGTCTATGAATTTTAATTTAGTTGTTAATGAGTCTTCCTCCAATCTTGATGCCACATTCTTCTTCATATAGTCCACCTTCTTGGATTATTTACTCAGCATACAGATTGATTAAGTATGGTGAAAGGATACAACACTGATACACTCCCTTTTTGATTTTACACCATGCAGTATCCCCTTGTTCTGTTCAAATAACAGTGTCCTGGCCTATGTACAGATTCCTCATAAGCACAATTAAGTGTTCTGGAATTCCCATTCTTCTTCATGTTTTCCTTAATTTGTTATGATCCACACGATCAAATACTTTTACATAGTCACTAAAACACAAGTAAACATCTTTCTGGTATTTGCTTTGAGCCAAGATCCATCTGACACCAGCAATGATATCTCTCATTCCCTGTCCTCTTCTGAATCCAGCTTGCATTTCTGGAAGTTCTCTGTCAATATACTGCTGCCACCAGTTTTGAATTATCTTCAGCAAGATTTTACTTGTGTGTGACATTAATGATATTATTGGATAATTTCCACATCCTGTAGGATCACCTTTC